CCTTAAACTCAACAATAGGTAAAGAGAATTTTATTCACACGCAAACATTAATATCTATGATATGGATAAGTTTTATTTTTCATGTCAAAAGATTCACACGAAACATGATGAGAGTTAAGGTGGTGGTGATTAGCATAAAATCGAATTATACTCTGTTAAGAAACAAAGTATTGTGTCTTTGCTATAAAGAAGTATCATCAAATCTTTTGATTGTTGGTTCATTCTAATTGTGCGAATATGACAATCTCAAGTCATATATTATAATGCCACTTTGAGGTGTAATATGCACAATTATAATAATAAAATAAGTAAAGACTTCTCTATGAATGATTATATAAATGTAGTCGTTTGATTACTCCAACAGAAATACTCTTAATCAAAAAAAAACTGTAGTATCTTACTGGAGATTGGAAGTGTTGCTAGATTCTTTTCAGCCATGCTTGATTAAGATCATGTTCGGAAATTAAACTTGGTCGAATTGAGAAAACACGATCTTTTCTATACATATTCTCGACATCAGCGTTTTGTTGTTGTTTTTGAATTAAGAATTTTTTTCTAGTATACACTAATAGTGGATTATGTATTAACGTCAGAGCCAACAGCCATCTTTGTAGAATACGTGAATTATATTCTTTTGTTTTTCTAATGATTGGTCTGGTATCACTAGTAAATGGAGACGGAGATATTTTTCCATTCGTTGCATGATGGTTCTCATTGTTTCTATTTGCTGTTGTTTGATTTAATTTTACATTCAAATATAAATAACTTGCAAAACATAGCATAACGGGATGTGCGTGTTCTCGTTCCATATAGATATATCCCACATAAGCACTGAAACCACTATCAAATCTTTCCAGTTTTCTACCTAATGGAGAATAATCTAAACGACACATACAGACCATGGCCGCAATAACAGTAAAAACAATTCGTATGACACAAGAGACAACACCGAGAAATGCATCAAGAAAAGCATTAAAATAAAGAAAAATCATTAACCACCGACGATTATTCAATGCCAATACATCACCCCAATGTTGTAAAAATGCATATTGAGCTAATAATTTATTCATATACATTCTGAAGAACATAAATAATAAAATAGGGATAAGTTTTTTCAAAATACGCTCTACAAATTCAACTGAACCAAATTTAATGAAAGCATCAACTGGAAGAATGATGATAAATGCTAGAAAAGTCAGTGATAAATAGCCCCATACAACATAACCGATAAAATACCCTAGAAAAACAATTTGTACTCAAAGATGTGTTAATAAAACTTTGAGAAAGACTAACCAGAAAATGAAAATTTGATGTTGCTAAACTAACAGTATTCAGTGTCGCTCGATGAGGTAATTCAGTAATATCGCCATGATACACTTGAAATAAATTTCGTCTTATAGCAGCTAATTGTAATGTTAATTGTAACAAAACACCAACTGTGGCAAACATAATGCTAGCAACATACGGTCCCACAAATTCAGGCAATGGAAATTTATTTTCGCCAAAAAGTTCATTAAATATTGTTGTTAATGATTGATGCAAAGTAGCTAATGATGGAATGACCTGAGTAATAAGAAAATCAAATTCTACAGTTGAATTTTCTATGCTTAAAAGACTTACTTTTACACAAAAATTGGTTGTCATAAAAAATACAAGCATAAATGCTGAAGCATAAACAGATAATACACGTAACGAGTAATGAAAATCATCTCGAATCGTGTAAATTTTTTTTGGAATAATTCGTGATAATAATGTTTTACTTTTTGGTCTCCTATCAACTGGTAAAAATAAATATCTAACATATCTTGCTTCAATAGAATGTTTTATATAGGATAATAATTGTTTTTCTTCTCTTGATAATGATAGAGATGTTGATATTGATTTTTTTTTCAAATTCATTCGTGCGCGTATCTTTTTGATAAATAACTCGGCTAATTTAATCGATATGTAGGCTAAACAAATATATCTCGGTATATCTATACACACATCAATGGCAATCAAATTTGAGCCTGTGCCATAGTAATCTAATAACGATTTAATATCGTCCGTACTTGAACCATTTGTTTCTTCGTACAAATCGTCGGTTGGATAATAATTACTACATAAACTTTGATTAACAATACCAACAGAAAAATCTAACCAACTATAAATGGTGGCCAAAAATAGAGCTACAACTGTATCAATATGAATAGCGACCAATATCGGATAATAACGAAATCCGATCACCAACACTTGGAATATTCGAATTAAATATCTAACAATCACACCTAAAGCACAAATCAAACTCATCAACTGGAATCGCTGATCGAGACTGCTGTACAAACTTCTGCTAAAATCCAGATATGGTCTTTGCGATTCTTACATCGTAAAACTTTTTTATTTTTTTCGAAGTCTAGAGAGAATAAAAAATCTCATGAGTATTTCGCGTAACTTTCACGAAAGAACCGTCCCAACTGTCAAATCGCTTTCGAGTCGAAGCCTAGTGGGGTATAGGTAATGGACTATGCTGATTCCGAATATCAACACAAGACGGATCCTTAGGCCTCAGGAGACTGTTTTTCAGAAACTCTAAAAAATAACCAAAACCTTTCTTAATGAGGCATGATTGTAGCGCGCACATTTTTGATTAAAATGAGACATTGCCCCGGCTCTACATGACCTTTTTTCACAAAGTTATGAAATTTACAAGAGAAGCCCTAAATGTTCATCAGCTCAAAGCTACAGAAAAAAGAAGAAATAAATTTAGGGCTTTTCTTGTACATTGTATAACTTTGCAAAAAGAGGTCATGTAGAGCTGGGAGATGTCTTATTTTAATCGGAAATGTGCGGGCTACAATTATGCCTCATTAAGAAACGTTTTGGTTACTTTTTAGAGTTTCTGAAAAACTAGTTTTCCAGAAAACCATTCTCTGGGGGCCTAAGAACCAGTCTCATGTTGATATTCAGAATCGCATGATCGACTGCCTATGCTTTACTAGGCTTTGGCTCGAAAGTGATTTGACAGTTGGGACGATTCCCTCGTCAGTCTTCTTTTTGTTTTCTTGATACATTTAGTATAGCAGTACCACTTGTTTCTGGAACATTTTTTGAATTTTTTTTTGCCATATTTAAAACTGTACTGAAAAAAAGGTTGGTGGAGAGCAACATCGACTTTTACTTGAGCAAAATATTGAAATACGTAAATACTAAATTAGCAAAATATCATAAAATCTCTCGAGCTTTTTGTGTGACCTTTTAACGTGAATCTCGCACAATTTCTTTACTGGTTTCTTCCCTAGGATGAACTGTGACGAAAAATTAAAAAAACTATCGCCAACCTTCTCCATTAGACGTATTTTCCGTTAGTACTTGATAAACAATTTCGAGCAGGTCAGCTGCTGTTACGGCAAAAACGACGGCTGCAAGTTTTCGTTTAATACGCGCAAAATAATCGAGTGGCACTGGTGGAGCGAAATATCCTTTGTATAAATTTTTTTTAAATGAACTTCTTTTTGATAGTATAGCATATAAAATGATTAGAGCACATGCTACCGGAAATGTGAACATATTGAAATCTTGAAGATTAATTACGGAACAGATGTCATTCGGTATATACAGGAGCGTTTGATTAGTTTGATATTTATTGACAATGTCATTATGGATCGGCTTTAATAGAAATGCTTTGATAATTAGTGCAGCGGCTGCAATTAGAAACATTAATACTGTGATTATAACTGATGTAATACTGCATGTTTTTTTAAAATGATCAACAGCCACTGTTGAAACACCCTGAACCTTGATACTAGATCTAGAAATGGATACATGTTAGTGACAGTTGTACAAAGTTCATGTTAAACAACGTGGACTAACGTTTCTGTATTCTCTTTTGTACTTTTCTTTCTTACAGTATTGACTATCATTAAACCATAAAATATTAATAGCAAAACGCCAAGTAAAACGCCTAATGCTATAACTTGATTTCCTTCGCTTGTTTCTAAAAGTAAAAAGTAAATAATCGAGAAAATAGAAGAGAGGGATTTGGACAAACTACTTTAGATCTGTATGATACTGACATTTCATTTTCGCTTATTCGAAATGATTTTTCAAACACTGTGCAGTTTTCTGGTTTCCAAAAACGATCATCACATAAAATTAATATCTGTCTATTCAACGATTGATCAACAAGAAAAATCATATCAGCTGATGGGAAGCAGTTAGCAGCACACAACTAATAAAGTATAGAAAATCAAAAAATTGAGAGAATTTTCCGATTTTTTTTCCTTCATAGGGATAAGTTTGAAGCTAAACAATGAAAATTATCAGAAGATTTTTAATCGATCATTTTTCAGAAATTTAAAAGATTTATTTTAAAATATATCGATATTAGCGTCAAACTTGACTTTTCAATTCATAAAAGACTGTTATCAGAATTTAAATCAGATTAAGAAGTATTCGAGAATATTTATACTACTAAAGCGAGTGTGATGATTTTTTCAACTGCTTAAAATTGACCGGCTAAGTTTCATGTACAGACAGTACGGAGTCATAACTTATATTCCGAACGGGATATTTATCGTAATCAGCATATAGAACTTATCCTAAACAGGATACATATCTCAGTTGAGATGTAGTAAAGATTCGAATCGGGATATTGTTGTATCCGGATCGGGCGATATTACTAAATATGTTCAAAAAAGTATTGAAAGTAAGTTTGATCGTCCACTGATCGTGATTAAGATCATTAGAAAATATTCTCTTGGTTCTGAAGGTTTCTGGACGGTCTTCCAAAAACCAAAGTATTTTCTGTTCGTTTTTAAACATTTGCTGAGCTTTACAGTACACTACAGCTGATATTCTGAAGTAGTTTCGATGGTTTTTGACCGAGTTAAGAATTTTTTAATTTTTCATGAAAGTAGTCAAAAAGGACGGGGGCGATTATTTGATGGAATCGGCCCCTGCTTGAATTCCATCGACACATACAAGGTTAGATGCAGAATGACCAGAAGAACATTTCTAGACACTCGGCAGACCTTAGAAATGCCCTCAGAAAAAACTAGGTCGAATTTGCTGAAACCAAAGTTCTACTCTTCTTTGGTCAACGATAACGATCCTGTGGTCCACACTTGTCCACTAGCCACGACGATACATATACTATTCGATAGAGAATTTCCCGCACTACAATTTCATATATACGAAGTAGTGAGAAAAGTGTCGTAGGACCCGTTGACATTAGAAATACTGTCTGGAAACCCTTGAAAACTGGGTGGCTTATTCTACGATGAGGATCCTATGATCAACGCTTCTCAACTACCCACTACGATAAATATATCATTCGATGGAGAATTTCTTGCTACAATTTCATGTATATAAAATAGTGACAAAAGTGTCCTAGGGTACCTTAACGTTATAAATACTTTCTGCGAAACCGTCACAAGTAGGTGACTCTTCAACGGTGCGGAGCCTATGATCAACGTTTCTCAACTAGCCACTACGATAGATATACCATTCAATAGAGAATTTCACGAGCTTCAAAAGGGTATACAAATAAGTCGTTTAGAAATATGCCCTCATCGGTCAATAGTTGAAATACTTATCCAATATAATGATTTTGATCTATCTTAGTGCTTTCAACACTCCGTTAGTCGTTTTTCTGCCATAATGAAAACTATGTATTGTTCCAAAACATACCACTGGATAGCGCTTCGAATTCTCTATAAAGTGAGCTGGTCACAATATCCAGACAGGGGGGTCAGTCATTAAAGATTTGGAAAAGAAGCTTTTGGGTGACATGTAAGCACCACACTGAGTCATAATCACAAGAACTCTCTTGCTTTTGACTTTTTAGGAAAAGCTGGAACTAATCTGAATAATGCTTTGAATATCACGAAGATTTTTCTATCAGATTAAGTGCATATCGACTTTTCATGAGAAAACTTGATAAAAGAGCTTTTGGAAAACCCGACCGCTGAAAACCCAAGTCCTTAGTTATTAGTGAGAAAATTTTGCAAACCATATAGCCGGATAGAGCGAAACATTCTGAGCAAAATAAGACTTCTCCCGCCATTCTATAGTGCTTTTTCACCGGAATGTTTTGGTAACTCTCGCGCCCCTTGTGGCTGGGGATAATCGACTGCAGTTGGGCGAAAACGCGCTATGGTATACCTCGCTTTATAGAGAATTTGAAGCGCTATCCAGTGGTATGTTTTGGAACAATACATAGTTTTCATTATGGCATTATGGCGGTCGGGTTTTCC